AATGCCTGGAGAAGACAATGGGAGAGCGAGTCACCACAGGAAGCATGCCTGTATCTATCAGAAACCGCTATGCTTTGAAGTGACCTGCAATACATGGACAACGCTAAACAGAATACGAAGAAGCTGTGGTAGATGTGCTAACAGTTTATATAGATGGGAAAAAGCCTTTATTCCTGAGTGTAGTGTGATTCACAACGACAGACCGTCCATCACATCGTTGAAAAATGTCCCCGAATCCAATTTCCTGGAGTTTTCTGAATGCGACCGAAAATGTTTAACTTTAGATTAATAATACATTAGATGTTCGTTTGCTCCATGTAACGTTTCAGATTGATTTTTAATTATGTGCTCTTATAGTATGCCATACGATAAATAAATCATCATCAGCAGTTTTGAGTCCACTGCTAGACATAGGCCTCCCGTAAATAATTCCAATGCATTTTATCTTAAGCATCCTGAATCCAGTTGTGCTAAATACGCTTGATGTCATCTGACCACCTTGTTGGAGGACGTCCTCGATTACGATAAGCATCGTGTCTAGGTCTCCATTCCAGAATTTTCTTCGTCCACCTTCCATCTTTTAATTTGGCAACATGCCACGCCCCGATAAATAAATACTTTAGTGGACATCATAAAATTGATAGCTACCGTTAAAATATATACGTAAAAAACAAATTTAAGTAAAAGTTTAATCAAAACCATCAGAACCTATCGAAATAACAACTGAAATAAGGCAGTCTTTTACTTTCTTTTTTATTAATACTTCTTCGTCTGGCCACTATACGTTTTATTTACTTATTTCTTTTTTACTTTGTTTCAACGCTTGTGATTCTGTAGTATATATCGATTTGTTGATGTGTTTATTTATGTCTTCTATATTTTCATATAGGTACATAATCCTTTAGTTTTCCGTCAATACATCATTAGACCAATAAAAAATATTTATAAAACGATGGTCTAAAACTTATTTAATTTCCCAATCACAGCCAAAATTATTCTCATTATCTAATTAATTTAGTTATATCCTGATGGCATCGAGAGCACGCGACTTGTAACGGCAAAAGGACCTTTTTAATAATCGAACAGGAAGACGTTGACCATATCCGGCCAGATGTCGACATTTGACTTCACTTGACAGGGTAATAGATTGAATGGGGTGATTTACTCCCGACACGAAAACTGATGACTGTAAAAATCATGCACTCGTTACGGTTTAAGTATTTCAATTTTACGTGTATTAGAGTATTAGTTTATTGGAAAAATTAACATTTTTCAACTACTCTTAATAATTATGGTTGAAAGAGTTTCTCACTTTCCCTTCATCTTTTCCTACTTGATTTAACATTTGATTCAAGTACTGATTGTTTTGTAACATCAATCTCAAATCAAATAGCCATCAATCCCTGGCAGATTTTAAACAATCGGAGTATGCATGTAGAAACCGTGAAGAAATTTCAGAACTTCAGAAACATTTTGAATAAAATATACGAACAATGTTTGACACGGAAACATTTAGAAACGCCTTTTAGCAACTGAAATGAATAAATATACACAGTATTTGCTTTTAAATGACTGGGAAGGTACACATGTAACGATTGTTGATTAAGTTCTTTTTATTTGGTCTTTTAAAAAGATTCAAGTAACTGATTTCCTAGGAGAACTCAAAATAAGGAACAAAAAATTTGAATAAACATTTTTAGACTCTCTCAATTAATCCAAAGTGCCAAAAAATTTACTAAAGTAAATTACTAAAAAGGTAAAGGTATACCTCGGTATATTTGGTTATCATCGCAACCAAACAAATTTATGTGAGCTGTTACTTTTTCTAGTCTCTCTTTATTGGTGATTGTCTTGGCGACATTATTAACAAATCAGACAGAGTAGGACAAAATGTGACGGTCAACAACTTCAATTTCGAAAGAGTACAAAGAAATAAAAGACGAAATCCAATCTTTAAACCGCTGTCTATTCGCAGTGGATAAGCTCATAAAATCAAAAAATCTTACACGAAGTTCAAAGATCAAAACCTATAAATCCATCGTCAGACCTGTAATAACATACGGATGCAAAACGTGGACCATGACCAAAGCAAACAAAGAAAAGCTCAGCCGCTTTGAACGAAAAATACTTGGAAAAAATTTTGGACCAAGAAGAGCAGGCCACATGCCTGCATAACGGGAGACTTGTAAAACTGGTATTGGAGGAGATTCCCACAGGCAAAAGACCACTAGGACGTCCCAGAATGCGATGGAGAGATAACATCCAAGCAGATCTCCGGAAAATGAACAGTCCATTTGACCCTAGGTTGATGGAAGACCGAACAAATTGGAAAAAAGTTGTACAGTCAGCCAAGACCCACCCAGGGTTGTAGCACTACTTGATGATGATGATATGTAACAAATCCTAACCATGTTGACGTGTCCAGATTCGTTACGGTGTGGCACTTTTTATACTTTAGGTATTCTAGGTAGTAATTATTGATGTCTAAGAGACGCTTCTATAGCCGTTTTGGTATAGTAACTTCGTACTATCTTTGGAAGGGTAACGATAGTCTGGATCGATGCAACGCAAAGTTGATTTGTGAGTTCTTTGAAACACATTTGATGGACGCTCCTTTACTAAAGTTTAGGATTGTGATCCACTTATATAATATATGTGCCCAAAGCTGCCATGTCTAGAAGGTTGAAAAATATATGCCAGTGGCCTACGATAAGTTTCTCGCTTAGTGGTATATTTCGACAACATCCATTGTATCAACTACTCCTTAGGTTAAAGAATTATACTTAGTTTTGCAGAAAACGTGGTTGATACTTCTGGAGTCGTTTGAATTGATGACAGTAATACCACCGAATTAATCTTTTGGAAACTTAAGAATAAACTATGACCTCTTTTGTACATGTAAAATTACTCGAATAAATATTTCGAAAGTTGCGTGTTTTACGACAGAAACTGGTTGTATTGTTTTTGACACTGTATTGACTTAACTCATATTCCAAGAATTCAATATATGGGCCAATAATTGTAGTGTAGTGAAAAAATTGTCTGTAGTTACGTTTCTGATAGATCCTTTGTATGGATTCACCATATCCAAAACCATTTTTTCCCTAACGTTTACTTGCCGTAGGTAACGAACCCGGTTTCTCTTCTAATCGGAGCATAAGGCAACCAAGGCAACGAAATAGCTGATGAACTAACCCGAGAAATAACATATAGTCCACTAGTTGCTCCGGAATCCTGATAGTTGACCCGGTAAAGACAGTCATTTCCACATCGTTATAAAATAAATCTCTAAAGAGATGGTGGTCAGAACAGAAGTAGTCTAAAATCTTTATCAAGATTTCAGACATTCAGCCAAATTTACAACAAATCTACCAGTATAACGTAAGTATAACGAAAGTAACTATAAGTGTAACGAAAAGTCTATTTAGGTAATAGTGGGATTTCTGACTGGGCACTGTAAGCTTAAAAGTTGTTTAAATCATTTGGATTTGACAGAACTTTTTTTCGATTCTGTCTAGACTATAAAGAGATCGTATTACACGTCTCACGCAACTGTGAAGGCATTACAAGAAATTGCTATATCTGAAATGCGTAGAGAAAATAGTAGAAAAATCAAGCTATGTGCAGATTTTGTGTAATTCGTGACATGCTGTATAAAGCAATGCTAAACTATGAACCAAAGACATTGGTTGAACTAATTAAATGCACCATGTTTAATACCAGAATAAACTTTTATGGTGAAAATCCAAAAAAATTTGACCGATGCGTTCTCGGCAAACGTCGGCATTATACAAGGAGATACATTGTATAATATTCCATTCAATCTTGCCCTAGAACATATTTTAAGAGTCTCAAGCATAAACTTAAGAAGCCAAATAGTAAACAAGAACCTTTTTGAATGTGAAGCATGGTATTTAAAGGAGATATAAATTTCATTGGTTGCGCTCAAAAAAAGTGAGTCTTTATCCTGCTCTAAAAGATCCGCTATCAAAATTAAGACCAGATTTAGATTAAGACTAGAGTTTAATTTTATTCAAACAAAAAGTGAGAGAGAGGACTAAAGTGACAGATGTCATAGAAAAAATTGCACAAGCCAAATGGAGATGGGCTGGACATATAGCACGTTTAAACGATAATAGGTGGACCAAAAGACTCATAGAATGGAGACCTAGAGAAGACAAAAGACACCGAGGCAGACCACCAAAAAGATGGATGGACGACTTGAGAAAAACAGTCGGAAATTGGATACAGAAGGCGCAAGATAGAGAACAGTGGAAGAACATGGAGGAGACCTATATCCAACAGTTAATGTAAAAGGTTGAGAAATGATGATGATGATGATGAAGCCAATTTACCTAGCGTACAAGGAACTTTTGTGACATCTGAAATCAGATATATTTACCAGGAAATCCAAATGCCAGATCTATAAAACTCTGATCAGACCAATGATCCACCATATTTGAAAAAAAAAAGACCTTTTACATATATACGGTGATGTATGCGTAAATGGCATTTAAAGGAAACTATAAAATTTCGAATTGTATCAAACCTACTTATATACTATTGTGGCAAAGCTGATAAAGGTTTGCAGGCTGAGATTTATAGATTATGTAGATTGTGCATGGAACATTCTCAACGAGCAAAATTTATAACTTAACAACAAATGGTGCAAAAAGCGACCCAAAGGGCGCCCAAAAGTTTGATATATGACCCAAGTACAGAAGGATGTATGAGAAGTCGAAACTAGTCACTGGAGAACGAAAGATAGAAATCAGAATCAATGTAGAGTAATATTTGAACAGGCCAAGTCCCAGTCTGAGTTGAGGAGCCAATGATGATGATAATTTAAGACTCAATACTGTGGAACCTCATTAAAGGAGACGCTTAATAGATTTGTAAGGAACGCAGTGTTTTGACTACCTATTTCTATTCACTATGCTCTTTTATAAAAAAAATTCGTTAGACAGTATAATGAATTAAAAGTATCAATTATTACTTACCTGTTTCTCTATCTGACCTTTCATCGGCAGAAATATAGTCCGCCATATCCTGAAGAAGCAGTGCTTCCTTTGGTACTAGAACCAACTCGGTTCCAGTTGGCATATCTTTAAATGACTCGTACCATAACTATAAAATAACAAATATAGTAAAATATTGTTATGTGCTAAATTAGTTTTTCTTTTTTCGCAGCAATTTTATTTATTATTCGTAATAGTACATTGTTTACCGGGTAGGAAAAGCTTAACATTCCTGGACGACTGTGAAGATTGCTAAGTCGAGGCGCAAGCCGAGACTTGGCAACACAGAGTCCAGGAATGTGGTTTTTCCTACGAGGTAAACATACTATTTTTCCGCAAATCGTTTAAAATTCGACAGATATTGATTGATTTAAAAAAAAACGTGATAATTTTATTCCCAAATAAATGGTGCTTTGAAATTCCTAATAAAATTACTTGGGTTACTATGGAAACGTATTGAGGTTGAATTGTCAAACTTGACGCTTATAAATTTAATTGCTGATGTTCTCGAAAGTAAAATGATAAGTGATGATGAAATTTCAATTCCTGGGACTCCTCCAGAGCTGGTTGAGGCAGTGAATACTGCTTCATTAGAATTATTGCCAAAGAAATCAAGAGAAAAGTACGAAAATGCATACAGACGTTTTATGGATTATCGCATGAGTAAAAATACGAGTTCTTTCTCAGAAAATGTTGTAATGGCATACTTCCTAGACCTTTGTTTACAGATGAAATCTTCAACATTATGGGCCAATTATTCAATGCTGAAGTCAACCCTTGCACTTAAACACAATGTAGATATATCTACATACTCAAAACTTCGTTCTTTATTGAAACAGCAAGCTCAAGGTTATAGGGCAAAGAAATCTAAGATTTTAACGAAGGAAGAAATTGAAAAATTTATCCAGGAATATCCAGATAAAGAAAATTTAATGATTAAGGTAATTTACAAGGTTTTAATTTCTATTTAGATTATAGCTTTATTTATTTTTTAGGTGGCTGTAATATTTGGTATTTCTGGGGCCTGTAGAATGGATTAGTTAGTCCGAATGACTGTACACGATATAGAAGACTTAGAATCTAAGCTTTTAATCAGCATACCTGATTCGAAAACCAACAAACCAAGATCATTTGTAATTAATCAGATCTACTTGAATGTTTATCGAAAGTATGTTTCGCTAAGACCAGAAAATATGAACAGTGACCGATTTTTCTTTAAATATCAAAGCGGAAAGGGTTGTAGACAAGTGGTAGGAATTCATCAATTTAGAAAAATGCCCAAAATAATTGCTACTTATTTGAACTTGGTAAATCCGACAGAATATACTGGTCACTGCTTTCGTCGGTCTTCTGCAACAATATTGGTTGACTCTGGTGCCGACATAACTAGTTTAAAGAGGCATGGCGGATGGAAGTCATCAAACGTTGCTGAAGGATATATCGAAGAATCGCTTAACAATAAGGTTGAGGTGGCAAATAAAATTTTCACAGTACAAAATATTCAACAAAATGACACTTCCACCCTGCATGTTGTCCAAAATGTTTCTCATAGTTCTAAGAGTGTTCCTCCAATGTTCAATAATTGTACTAACTGTCAAATTACTGTAAATATAACAAATTGATCTTAAAAATGTATTCAGCAATGACTTGATGTTTTCAAAATATAAATTAATTCCTTATAAGCAATGTGTTTTCTCTCATTTATGTTGAACACTAACAACTGTACGGAAATATCATTTCCTTACAGTAAGGAAATGACATTTCCTTACAGTAAGAATTGACTTTTTCTTCAAGAAATTTTGACAGGAATGTCAAAATTTCCTGGCGATTTGCGGAAAAAATATTATGTACCAGCATATGCACAGCATGCTCTAAATAAGATAACATAATATATGTATATATAGGGTGAGTTATGAGAAAATTTACATACTCCTATCTCAGATGTCAAAGAAACTACTATCGGAAATGTCAAATCCCATTAAAAAGTGTCTGCTGTCAAAATTGTGTATTTTGGCTAATATTTATTTTTGTCATAACTGTTAAACAGTAACTGCCATCCATCTATTATTTTAGCAAAACCATACACTGCTAAAACCTGCTTAATTGATTTTTTAAACTAAAACAAATTTGGGTCTTGGAAAATTAGTTGGTTTTGTACGTACAAAAAATGTAACCCTTTGTGTGCTTTTAAATGCACTCGTAAGGCTCATAATATTTAAGCTAATTAGGCCTTTTACAGTGTATAGTGTTTAATATAATTAATATAAATATAATTACTTCAGTCGTCAGAGACAAAAATGCCACTGATCCTCTAAAAATTATATGAACAAGCTGAATTTTGCTGACAATCTTAATTGTGGGACCCTAAAAAATGTTCAAAAAGTTTATTACTACTACCCCGCCTTTCCCCTTAAACCCCACTTTACAGGGAGTCAGAAAAAACCGATTTACTGAGAATCTATATGCTTTAGAAAAAATGTTTTAAATAAAAAATGTACTAGCCATGTAGCAAATTAGGCTAAGTATTAGCACTTTTTGTGTAGAATAAACCGTTCTCTCAGAAACAACGCTTCAATCAACCGGCGATTTTAATTGTGTTATGCGCGTTGACATCAATTTTAAATAAAATTTGTATTAACTCGACGGTAAAAATTTGATCTTTTGATCTGAGTGTCCTATCGAAAATAATCAAAATGTGTTTTAAAAGCAATGAGTGCAGCTTTCGTATGAAAGTTTTGCAACAAACGTTGCGCAATTTTTACCATCTTTTACGATGCTCAAAGTCGATCAAATTTATCACTTCCATTGACCGCTGACTATGGAATTTAATTGTTAGACCTTTATCTTCAAAACATGACCAAAAAATATGCCAAAAAACGCTGAATTTAAACTCACATTACATTTGAATAGTAGAAAAGATCTGAAATGTTTAAAACTGCTTTTTTTATTTTTTTTATTAAACAAGTACGTTTTTTTTAAACTACATAACTTTAGCTACAAATCCCACTTAATATTGTCTTTATAAAAGCATTTTTCGTGACATGCGATCGATTTTAATGTGAAAGTTATAATTCAGCGTTTTAGGTATATTTCAAATGCCTCAAATTTGTTGCCAAAATTTAAAATCCTAATTTAATATTATAGGTTTTGAATATTAGGCTTTAAAAATGGAAATTCCACTGTGATCTCTCAATGAAAGAGATAAATTTAATTGATCTCATGAGAATTGTAAAAATAAGGCAAGACTTTTAAAACTTACTTCATTTGCCCAAGATGCAAAAATTGCATACCTACACTTTTTAAGTTTTGATGATGGACACTCTGATCAAAAGATATCGAATTTTTATCGTATTCAAAATCGTCAGTCTCTTCAATGATTTTTTCTTTGAAAACAGTTCAATTGTTGTTTCTGAGAGAACGATTTATTCTACACAAAAAGTGCTAATAAACATTTTTATTCAACATTATCTCAACTAATTTTTTTATTTAATTTAAAACATTTTTTTCTCCGGCGTACAAATTCCTGGTAAATCGATTTTTTTTCTTCCCACGCCTCCCTAGGTGTTGGTATTTTAGAATGACGCTAGAAGGTAGGAATGGTAAACTTTATTGCATCTTTTTGGTATTCTTAAGTTGACATTCTCAGCAAAATTCAGACTCTTTGTTCCGTTTTCAGAGATGAGAAATCCCTGACGTCTGGACTAAATAAGAATTTTGTAATTTATATAAATTTTATTTTAATAGAAAGAGTTAATGATACTTACTTGACCATTTTGCAGATAATATTTCATATTTGTCTCATCTTTCACTGGACTGCTTCGAATTAGTTTCAACCAGTTTTGAAAACCCCGCGATCCATCTAACCAACCCCTACTGCCATCTCGTGCGATGACCTACAACAAAAAGAGTTTTTGAAATACATAATATAAAAAATACAAATATATGATGATATGATAAAATACTTTAGTATTTACATTCATAGTTTGACATAAAATACTCAAAATATTTACTTTTTTTATGTTAAAAGAGCCAAAATACCTATTTATGGACATATTCGGTTTCTCCTCTCACCGAGTCAATTAGACTTGAACTTACATGGAACGTGGTCTTTAATGTTGAGCAAAAAATGTAAAACTGCTAGGCAAACAATTATTTCCGCGTAAAATGTGCAGTGCACATGAATTTTATCAAAAAGATTTACCATAAAGAACTTCTGATTATAACATATAATAATATAATAATTAATAATACTGTAAAAATGATTAAAAAAGGATTTTTTTAATTCAATTTAGAAATTACTTGTTTCAAATTTTCATTTCTCAACTACTATCGTACTGTATATAGCTGTATATAGCTTAATAATAAAGAAAACAATACAATATTTATAGGAAATATATACAGTCTCTATTTTAAATATGTCCAATTTGTCCACGGTGGGGACTAGAAAACGTTGTTTTAATTTTTCTGTCTGGTCCGTTGGAAAAATAGTAATACACGATGGCATGATTTTGACGCTGCATGAAATTTTAATTGCTTAATAAAGCATACTGCAATGTTTTAGGAACCTCTTACACCTTTTCAACTTTGTTGCAGATAGAATATATCCCGGTTTATGATCAAATAATGTATTTCTAAATTTCTTTTATACTGCCATACTGAACTAGTCAACTTTGAACAGGTTAAGGCTTTCAGTAAATCGAAATTATTCTACACATTTTTCTTGATAAATCTGCTATTCATAAATAATGATTGAAGTAGTCAACCTATTTTCTGAATTCCCTGTATTTTCTTATTTAATTTATCAGAATTGTTGATTATGTTTGGCCGCGAGGCTCTCAAATAAAAATTTTATTTATTATTAAATATTTTTTTATTATTTAATACCAGTAAATTTTAAGCAGACAAGCAGACAATATTAACGTAGTCAATTATTTGTTTTATGTTTTCGTGAATAATTTATAACCATTCGTAAAGCTATTTATTTTGAGAGAGAAAACAGCGAGACAATAAAGATATTATCAATAGAAATCCTTGAAAAACCAATCATATTATATAGATGCAATAGTTTGGATATTCTCCAAACATCATTGATATACTATTGCGCGTGAATATAATAGATCATAAATTGTTAGCCTTAGTGGAAATATATGATAACTAAAATGATGCAACGCCATTTAACACGTTTCTAAAAATAGTATAATCTTATTCACAAAGCCATCAAATTTTTGTTGTGACTAGAACTGTAGTCGATATTAAAAATAAACAATCAGTATTTTTTACCATATCTATTTAGAACAATGAATTTTTACGCGAACGTGGGAAAGCCATCTTCATGAATAGCCAGTTTTTTCATTTATATAGTTGTTATTTTTTGAAAATTAAACCATAAGTAAGCACTTCCAAATGTGACAGTGTTCACACAGTGAACACAGAATCATTGTTTGGTAGTGCCTTGGTGAATGCTCATATTGTATATACACAAGTTATACAAACTAAATTGACTATCACAGAGTTCAAAACAGAAGTCGCTATAGAACTACTGGGTGAAATGTCCGCAATTGAAACTAACATTAACGATAACACCGATGTCAGTCATTAGCTTGTAGAAGAAAGAAAAAACAGATGTGTGGTTTGCTACATCAGAATGAAGAATGAATTGGGGCGGAAGGAAGCTCAAAACAAGTGTTCCCGTTCTAAAGTTTTGTGCAACCAATGCAAAAAACATTATCGTATTTCTTGTTTTTTCTCAACACATTCTATTTTTGCACATTCTGAATAAAATCTTTTATTTTTTTCATAAAGTTTTATAATTTCCATCTTTTGTAAAAACCGTTCAACTTACAATGTATTTTATATAGCTGTGGGGGCACAATTGATGCCACGGTGTCCCAAATACAAAACTGTAGTGTGGCATTAAAGTGATGCCTCACTGTCCCAAGATTACTATTTAGCGAGGCATAATATTGATGCCACCCGGGGCTGACCGTGTTAATAAAAAAATTGAAATAGTTTGTTTACTAAAAAACAACTCCCGTATATAATAACGTATATTAATATTTTAAAAACTGCCCCTTAAATCGAATTTTGTGCAATTTACGCAAAAATACAGTTTTTCTCGTTGCCATATTATAAGTCACCCTATAAAGCTTGGCGTTCTGTAGAATGCAATTTTACTATTAGCTTGATTCACTCGTGGTCTTTTCTTTCATGTCCTTACGCGATTTATAATGACAGGATTAAGGATCAGACCATTAGGGGTTAAGGGTAGTTGCTTCTGACAATTAGAGTTCATTCAACACTTCGCTCTACCCTTGTTTCGCCCCGCTTTAACATGACCCAGCTTTAATTGGTAAGGTGTTGGAGAAAATCCGCCCCATGGAAGATTTCTATTAGCGAATCCCGAATGTAGCGTCGGTCTGTTATCCTTTCAGGATGTCACATTGATTAATTATGGACCAAACATAATTTATTTGTGAAAGAAGATACATATTTGCGGTTGTTAATTAAAGATTTACGTATTTAAGCGATCTTCGAGATTAATATCATTTATTGGATACGTATTACCTCGTTTGATATACACCTGTATATTATTTGTTGGAGTAAAAAAAACATAGGTATTTACGTTTATTTTTATAACTACTTTTTAAAATTTCGTTCTTTTTCAGTTTTCCTTTATTCTTTAACTTTTGTTTTTCATTCTAGTTGTTATGTTTTTAAATATTAATATCTTATGTTAATAGTTTTCTGTATATTTTTTTTATATAATATTAAATGTTCAGCTTTATGGCTAGGATGGTTGGTAGCTAAATTAAGAAGTTTAAAATCTATACACTGGAGGGAAAACTAGAAATTGTTTAACCAACCTTTTCGTTAATTTTAACTGTTACAATTTTAGCAGCTAGCAAATCAGCAATTCAATCTAATGTCTAATGTCTCGACAATTTCATATTTCAATCTTTTCTGTTCCGTAGTTTCCAAATTCATCTTGGTTCGTCGAAACTCTCTTGCTTAGTGAATACATTCTGCGCTGATTTCTTTTCCGGTTTTCTCTCCAGCGATCAGTTCTGTTATTGTTGATAATTAGATCTTCTAGAGGGGGTTTCTGAAGCGAAACTTTTTATTTCTAGCTAGTGGTTCAGTGGTTCAGAATAGCTAGTAAGCTTTTCTTCGTAAGATGTTCTTAAAACTGAGCGTTTTGTTGAGTGTCACACATTATTTTTGTTTTTTCGGTGTTGATCTTAAGTCTGATTTCATTGCTTATCCGGCTTAGCGATTTGGTGATGGTAGTCATTTAGACTTCATTCGCTACTAGTTTATGTGTGTGATCTGCGGAGCGCAAGCTCCCAATTTTTCTGCTACGTGTAGTGATTTCTCTATCTCATTCGTCTAGTAGGTACTTTCCTCATTATATTTTTAGAACATATGTTGAATAATAATGTTGATGAAGTCCCTTTCTGGTTCCTTTTTCGTTTTAAACGCCTTTTAATATATGTGGCCACGACACAATCTTAACTTAAATCTCATGGAACAGGTTTGGGACCGATTCCATAGCATTCGAAGCCGGGTACCTGCTCGACTTAGCTTCTTTGAACCAGCTTAGACTGCCTGTTTTAGAGGAATGGAAACCAATTCAATTAAATAAAATTTTAATTAAATTCAAAATTTGAGTAGGTGGATAAATGCAGTTATAGAGGCTCATAGAGGTAATGAGAGGTATTAGATACATGTATGACTAATACCAGTTTTTTGTTACTTTTTTTTTCTGATAAAAATATCATACTTTTTGTGTTAATGTCTGCAAACAATAACTAATTCATTCTGACAGTTCACCAAACCGTGGCAATCTTTCGCAAGTTGATAAAAAAAAATTAGGCAAATTTATCAAAAATGTTTGATGACAATCTTACTTAATTTATGTTTATTAGAAGAAAATAATATAAAGAAAAATTTTCGTGTATTTTACTGATAAAAAACAACGATATTATTGAAGCAAAACCTTCGTTACAAACTTTAAATTCAAGTTCTGAAGCGCCATCTCTACACGTCATTCGTAAGTTCGCTCTTTGGTTAGTTTATTATTCACCTGTGCTCTTTGAAAGAAAATGCCAGTACATTCACTGCGAGCATTGACCGAATCGATATTAATTCCTTTATACGTCACTAGAGGTCTACATCTTGGTAAATTTAAAAATCGGCGATCTTGTTTGTAATAATAATTATTCTAACATTGATGATAAAGGTTTTAGTGCAAACAGGATATGACCTTTAGGGATTTAATAAATAATAGCTGTTCGTTGATATCTTGATTTTTGTTTTTTATTTCAAATCGTCTTTGTGTTTTAGTCTTTTGACTTTCATCTAGGTAATTATATTGTTTTAGTTGTATGTCTTGACCTGAGTTACTTGATTGGTTGTATTTTTATTTTATCTATTGTTTCCTCTGTTGTTACTTGAGATGTTGAATTATCGCAGATATATTTAATGATTATTGTGTATTGATCATCAATTCTATTGATACTTATGTACCTACCTTTGCTATACATAGTATTAGACTACTAGATATAATTGATTTTCCATTCATTGTTTCAATATTTTTATTTCTTATATATGAGCTGTACCTAGTGCATAACTCTTTCTAAACCCCGCCTTTCTGAAGACTGACTGAGCAATTTGTTTGTTATTTGCAAGGCAATTAATTATCTTTACAAACAATTTATACAAAACTGTAAATACACTGATTGGTCTATAGTCCTTTAATTTATATTTATTTCCTTTTTGAAATATCAATACTATTAGAGTACTTAGGCAAGCAATACATTTATATATTCCGATACATTAAAAAAAAATAATTTTTACCATTTCTATCACGGACTGTCCCCCAAACTTTATATTTTTTAATACTATTCCATCTTTCCCTTATTGCTCATCGGGTTTCTTATTGTTACCTCTGTTATATCTACTATATTTTTAGATTCAACAT